TGGAATTCAACGATCTACTAGAGGACACAGAGCAGGACGGACATGAGAATGAGGAGAATGGGTCCGGGGCACCCATTTCTATTATTCCGCAGGCAGATCCAATACTCCAGCCGCCGTTCGTAGGTCAGTCAGGAGCAGACGTTCACCACAGCGTTACTCACCAACTTTAAACTACATATTGCTGACAGACAGTGGGGAACCACAGAGCTATGAAGAAACCTTAACAGATGAAAATTCTAGCAAGTGGGAGCTGTCCGTGAAGGAGGAGATGGATTCCCTATTAGGAAACCAGATATGGGAGCTGACAGAACTTCCCCCTGGGAAGAAGGCATTGCACAACAAGTGGGTGTACTGGGTAAAGACTTAGCCTGATGGCAGTAAAAGGTACAAGGTGGTATAAGAGATTTGATAATTTCATGCATAGTGCATAGTACAGCAGATGTCAGGCATATCATTGTTGTTATGTTATGTGTTTTGACAATTTCATATCATTCTACTGCTGCATGTAGATAATATGTTTATTACAGGGGTTAGTATTGATGGGACTAATAATCTGAAAGAGCAGATGTCATAGCACTTTGCAAGAAAATATTTAGGAGCTCAAAACAAATCTTTGGCATGAAATTTGTCAGAGATAGAGTTAGAGGCATATTGAAACTCTCTCAGGCTGAGAATATGAAAAAGATACTTAGCTGGTTCAATACGAATAAGATCAAATCAGTTGGCACGCCCTTAAGCAGTCACTTCAGACTCAACAAGAATCACTTACCTTAGTCAGAGGAGGAACTAGACCACATGAGTAAGGTTCTTTATACTTTAGCTATTAATTCACTTATGTATGTTATGATTTGCACCAAATTGGATATTGCCCATGTAGTAAGAGTTGTTAGCAGAGACACGAGTAATCCTGGAAAAAAATATTAAGAAGCGGTGAAATGGATCTTGAGGTACCTAAGAGGCTCTTCAGAAACTTGTTTGTGTTTCTCAGGAAAGAGCCTAGAGGTACAGGGTTATGTTGATGCAGATTTAGCTGGAGACATTGACAGTAGAAAGAGTACTACAGGTTATGTTTATACTCTTGGCGGTACTGCAGTGTCATGGGGTTCTAATCTACAGAAGACAGTTTCTTTGTCCACTACAGAGACTGAGTATATTGTAGTATCAAATATGCTGACCAAGGGCGTTACACTTGAGAAACTGAAGTTGTGCTCGACTTCAGTTGGACTTCTAGCTTGAAGTCAGAGGTTTTGAGTTGCAGAGGTGGAGGATATCATGTTTGAGGAAAAGGTCGGTACAACAAGCGGATGATGCAACCAGTGAGCACAATTAGTGTCCCAGTCTCCAAGTGGGAGAATTGTTAGGTTATGTGGAGCCCGGTCCACTACATACAAATTAAGCGAATCTTTGAATATTAGGAAACCATTTAAAATAATGACATTATTTTAAATTCCCTTCCTTCTATTAATTACGCTATATGTCCTGCCTTATTCCTCTCCAGATTTCGTGAATTATGGCATTGCCTTAATGGCCATTAAAGCATGATTGCATGCTTAATTTGGAATCACGAAAATAAGGAATTAATCACCTCCTTTATCTGATGTGAAGAAAGGGTTCCGCCAACTTGATTGCTAAGAGAAAAGGAAACATTTTTTCTTTTGGATCTTGTCATTGCTTATTGTAGGATTTGTTAATTAAAAGCTTCCTTAAGTGGGCCTTTTAATTTGGCTTTAAATTCATGCATCGCAAAGCAGTCAAGCATCTCTGCCTTTCCAATCTACTTCAATATTTTTGCTTAAGGCTGGAATAAAATTGTGGTTTATTCTTTTGAGCACCTTTCTTTGGTGGTGGTTCTCAGGCAAAGAGAGAGGAGAAAAAGAAGGTGAGAAAGAGAGTTTTCTTGTAAGTCGACGTGGTCGACGTTGTAATCCTCAAGTTAATAAAATCCTCTGCAGCTCCGTGGACGTAGACAATTTGCCGAACCACGTAAATCTTGTGTCGTTTTTTTTTTGTATGAATTTTTCTAGATCTATTTTTCGCTTTATTGCCGTCGTTTTTCTATAACAGTTTGAAGTTCTACGGGAGGTGAGCTCCATTACTAGTCTACTAAGATGGTCAACAATGAACTCCTAGGATTAGATTTTGGGTTCTGGGAGTAGGAAACTAAGACCTCACTAAAAATGAGGTCAACATATTTTTATTTATTTCCTTACTAATAGATACTGTAATAGATATTTATTCCCCTCTTTGCATCAATAAGATAATATCATCTTTTTTTTTACTTTGTGTTTGACTGTTTTGACTTTGAGCTGTTCAGAGTTGATTGGATTGATTCAGAGTTGATCGGCTTCCTCCAAGTAAGTTTGGAGTTGATTGATGATCGACTTGGTTGATGCTATGTTTGAATAAGTTGATTTAAGGTTGACGGGGGCCTTGATGGGATAGATTTTGAGTACGTTGTTGTTTGACCGAACTGACTAAGATTTGATCAGCCTTAACTGAGTAGATTACGAGTAGACCATTGCTTGATCAGATTGAATTAGGGTTGGCAGTCTCGAGGTGGTTGGTTTTGTGCTGACCATTGTTTGGTTTGCTGATTTAGAGCTATATGGCCTTCATTGGTCTGATTTATTGAGGCTTTTTAGTAGAGAAATGACCAGTGATACATCTTAGGACCTTCTCTGATCGTTGTTTCTCCTAGAGAGTTGATGTGTATCCTCATAGGGTATGGTTATTTAGGTTGGACCTGTCATCACAAAAAGCATTCTGAATTGGGAATTTTTAGAGGTCATTTTGGAGTTTCCTCAAGACAAAGCAAAATCAGCCTTAAAATTTAATGTCAAAGGAAAGTCCGCCTTAAAATTTACGTATTAACCTTTATTGGAAGGTTAAGAGGGTAGCGGCCAAAGAAAGTTCTAACAGGTTCCTCTCATTTTCTACATTGATTTAAATAAATAAATATGGTAATGATAGGGCGTCATGATTCATGAGGCTTCCCTAGTAATATTCTTGACTATTTAAGCTAGTCAAATCTATTGTCTAAAGAGAGTTCAAAAGAGCCTAATTAAACCAAATGAGGTTAAATTAATGAAGACACAGAACATACAAAGCTCAGGTCGGTAGAACGAGGTTATATTATGACATTTTTTCTTTCTACTTTTGTTATTAAATTTTTTTATTTTTTTAAGTCACTTTCTTAGCAGAAATTATATTCTACTTTCCCAAAAATAATTTTACTTATATAAATTCTAAGAATACTATGGAATAATGTTTTATTTTTCATCCATACAGCATCTGCTTTTATTTTTTTGCATGCTATTTTTTTCTGCACTAAAGCAAATAGAAATGAGAAAAATCAAACAATAGTTTAAGTCTCTTGACACCATGGGATCAATTTAGGTTAACCAACTTATTTAAATATGGTTAGATTATGTCAAATAGAATTACCATTGTTACTTGCATGGACAAGAAGCTACTCAAAATATCACTAATATGCCTAAAATCTTATTTTCTCTCTCATCCTATGTATGATTTGCCTATACCGTTATATATCATTATTCCTAAGTATTTATCAGCAAGGCCCTACTACCAAGTTATTCTGTATTTCCATCCAAGATGAAGGGAAGATGTGTTACTAATCCATCTTAATTTGGAATCACCATCTTGGCTGCTGTATAGCTATATTTTTTACATGCATGATTTCTATTTTGTTGAAGTTGCATAAATAGTATAAATGCACCTGATCATCTTCATTAGTATTATCCCAAGCACTTGGAATTAGATTTATAAATCGTCATGTTATATCCATTTTAGCAAAGTGATAATTGACGTGTTAAACATATTCCTCATAAATTATTTTGAACTTTTATCCATATTTCATAGTTCACCACTTCTTCCTTATCCAATTATATTAATTTTATTTACTTGCCTAATTGGCGAATTTTTAGCTATTTGTTCCATATGCCCAAATTGCCCGACTCTATTTTCAGTTTTCTATCATTGTTAGATATCACTCCAACTATTCCCTCTAATACAAGTATTCGGTAATTTATTTTTCTTCATTGTCATATATTCAACTTAACATTCTCATTTATGCCACCCTCTACTTTGATATTTAAATTCATCATGTTGTTCCGAAGATCAAAATGACTTGTTATTAATGAAACTTTTTATCGATTTTGTGTGAGATACTCGTTTGGCCGGCAACTTCCAAGATAATCATAAACTGAACGCATACAAATAACCAACATTCAATTTTTCTTTATAAAATTCAGATTCATCTAGCATGACCAACCTAATTCCTGTTTTATATAATTTACAAGTTATTAGGATATCCTTTTATTGAATGATGCTGCATAGCAGTTATTCATTTTAACTGCTAACTCTAGAAGTTTATATATTCATCTATATTCTCATTTTTTTTGAATTTGATTGAATATACTGAAACCTTAAGACACTTTATATAATTTAATTTCGTTATAATATTGAATGATTATCGTTAATATTTCACCCACTAAAATTGCATTTTACATACTCAACATTTGTTCTACTAAAGAATGCTGATGCACATGTAATATAATATCGATAACCCTTTGCATGCATTATTAGGGGTGACTCTAGATTCACCCTTGGATGCATACATAATTTTTCATACTGTTTTTCATTACTTGTAATGGTATCCATGTATGATAACAACTTTTTTCCCATTCATGGCTCTCAAGATATGTTCATACCTTACCAGATTAATTTTCGGTGCATAATGACAAATCCTTTATTGAAATTTAGCTTTTAAGGATAAGCTGTTTACTGATTACTTGCTAATGATCTGGTTATAGACTGAATTAATAATTGTGTAACTGTGCATACAAAGTCCTTGAGCAAACAAAATTTGTTAACCTATCTTGGCAAACGGAACACCTGAACTTGGTCACATACTAGTTCTTAATTATTTTCATTAAGTTCAGTTTGTTTCGTGATCATTCTTTATTTTCTTACTTCTGTAGGCTTGATTCAGAAGAAGTTAAGGAGAAAACGAAGAAATTAGGTGCAGATTTGGTATACACAGAAAGCCAATTGTCAGTAAAGAATGTTAAGAGTCTTCTGGTACATTGTCTTTTAATTTGATCAAATAGTTGGACTCTTTACTGGATGTGTTTTAATTGATTCAGCTTGCTATTTTGCCCAAAAGACTTAATTTTCTTTTCTTTTGCTCATTTCATTTCTACATTCCTTGAAGTATTCATGCATTTTTTCATCATTAGATGACTAGCTTCTTTCTTCTCTTGCTATCTATCGATGTGTTTAGGATGGTATACCAGAACCTCTTCTTGGATTTAACTGTATTGGCGGAGATTCTGCTTCTTTAGTCCTCAAATTCTTACGGTAATTTCTGGCTTACGTTTATCTGAATTAGAAATATTGCCAGCCTGCCAGGTATTTGTTTGTTGACTGATTAATATTTAATTCTTCAGGCAAGGAGGCACCATGGTGACTTATGGGGGAATGGCAAAGAAACCCATCACTATGTCTACTTCCTCATTTATATTTAAGGTGAATTCTACAATAGCTTCTTCTTGAAATTGCATATATTGCATTTAAAAAAAATAAAATAAAATAGCTACGAAAGAATGCTAAGTGTAAAACTATGCATATACAAAATGAGACCTATCATTACTAAGAAATAAGAATAGATGTTGTCGGTCAACTTTTTGATTGATTTTGAAATATAATTTAAATATATGAGGTATATAGTTTAGGTTTTGAAAGTAGTGTTTTAATTTAAAAAAAAATGAGATTAAATGGATCTCATTTGTCCAATAATTTGCATAATCGTGCCCGATACTGCGAGTACTACACCCTCCCGAAAGATAAGTGTATACCTCGGCGATAGACCTAATCCCGCAAACTAAGAGGTTTGTGACATCCATTTGGTCTGCAAACCTTTTATGTGTGACCGACAAGTTCCCTATTTAATACAAAGATTAAATAGGGTTTATTTTACCCGGATTCCAAGTTCCTTATAAAGACATACTCCTATAGTTAATTACATCCCAATTGACTTGAGTCACTTGAGAAAACTCTCGATAATGATCAGAGGTATTAGTATTCAAGAATTCGAGGTTTAGTTTTTCACGGTAGGATGCGGAAAGACGAGTGAGAGTGGCTAAAAAATGAACAATTATTTTCAGGAGTCCAAAAGAAGGAAATGTAGGAGATATCACAGATTTTGAGGAGAAAACCTCAATGACTTCCCAAATTATTTTAATGTGTGGCTGAATTTTAGAGATGATGTTATTTATGTGTTTAATTCTGCCAATTTTATTGTTTGGGACTTACATTTGCATAATATCTGATTATGAAAATAACCACAAAGATAAGAGGGTTTACGTTATATCACACGACAACCTTGGAATATAGGGCGAGTTAGGACTTACGCTGCACAACATGATTGTACAAGAACTTAAAGAGGGTGTGAGGATCTACTTCGCGCTGACCGAACTACCTCGAAGTCCTATGAGTTGCTATTTAGACTAGGAAAGAGATTGTTGAAGAAGATCCTCTTATTGCTCGGTCTGAGTTCCTCGCCGTGCTACCCACGAATTTAGCTGTGAATCTTCTACCGTTGCGATGACTCCAAGGTTTAAGTATTAGAAATTGGTGGTTTGTGTTTTACAGTTTTGGTGTCAAAGTTTGATTTTGTCTTGTTTTTGTTTTGGTTTATCATGCAAAATAAACAAATTGCAGATAAATAAAAGGTACTTGAAAAGTAAAATAAAGTAAAAATGTCATAGATAAACCGTAAAAGTGTACTTGGGCATCTGCTACTGTTGCGTGATTAATATTGCGAGCATAATATGATTTGCAGCAGATTTAAACAAACTTGCGTGAAAAATAAACAAGCCGAGAAAACTCAACACGATAGTCAGAAAAAAAACGAGAGAAATCATAAGCAAAAGAAACCCTTAGCTACATATGAAAGACCAGGACTGAGTGTAAGACATTGGTAAAAGTGGGGGCTCAGAGTTGAACTGTGTGCTTCCCGATCTTGAACAAGAGTTACTAGTTCGACAATCTATGGAGAGCAGTCCTTAACCTCAATCCAAGTGATTAGCTGTAGACCTTTATAAATTTTCATAAAAAATTATTTGATTTTTATGCAAAAACTGTTGTTTAAGTCTTTTTTATGTAGAATTCTTTTTAACATGCTAAAGAAATTTTTGTTTTATTTTTTTGTAAATATTTTGTAAAGTCGTATAGTCTATAGGCTAGTCACTCTAATCGTGCTAGAACTACTGACAAGAGCGTCGGGGGCAACAATCCTATCAAGGGTCGGCAAATAGTAACATCGGTCCTTTCTCTTATTGAAGATCCTTGAGGTAGGAGATACTATTCTAATAATCCAACTTTGTATCCCTCGTTTAAGCACACATAAGCAGTGTCGTCATCGCCCTCGCCACCTAAATCATAGACTTATCCTAGTCCGATGATCCATATATGACGTTAACAAATTTTCCCCAATTGCTTGAGTGTAATATCCAAGCTCAAATCCCGATGCAATGAGTTTCATTATAGGTTAAGTCATTGCGGGAATTTCACTGTTGATTTAATTAAGGAAGCATGAACTACATCTCAGTGCATCCTCATGTCTAGTGTCTTAATCAGTTTGTGAATCATGATCAAGTGCCTAGTTTCATTACTTATACGAAAATTATGTGGATGAACTCTCATCTAGGGTGTGCTCCTAAAATATAGGAAGTTTACACTGACAATTAGGTAGATGGACTCTCACCTAGGGTGTGCTGTGTGCTCGTGTGCTCCTAAAATCTAGGAAACCTACACTGAGAATTAGGTAGATGGGCTCTCACCTAGGGTGTGCTCCTAAAATTTAGGAAGCCCACTGAGAATTAGGTGGATAGACTCTCACCTAGAGCGTGTTCCAAAAATCTAGGAAGCGTACACTGAGAATTAGGTAGATGGACTCTCACATAGGGCGAACTCTTAAAATTTAGGAAGCCTACACTGAGAATTAGGTAGATGTGTGTCGGCACTATTTTTGGTATGGGGTTTGCTCGTAAGAAGCTGTCGGTCATCGGAATTGAAATCCCGTTGCCCGCTTCAGAAGGACGTTTTTAAAAAATTTAGTTTTGAAAAAGATGAAGTCAAACTGACCCCATAATTTTCATAGTTTAGATGAAAGAGCACTTTATCTCAAATCATGTATCTATCCCGAAGGATGAACGCAAGAATTGAGAGTGAGACTCGATCAAATAAACTAAAGAAAATTATGACATCCGTTTGGTCTGCGAAACCAATATATTGGCCGACAAGTTCCCCTATTTAATATAAAGAATT